CCGCTTGATCAATTGATTGGTCGATAGTAGTTCGTGGCATCTGTCCCATAGGCAGCTCGAGAAATGTGATCACGTGACCGTTTGTGCGCAGTGGACGTCAGAGGCAGAAGGCGTTATGTCCGCGCAGGAAAACTTCAGAGTTCAACGCCACAGACATGGACGCTGTAGTATTGCCGCAGGGTGTCCAAACACCGGTTGGTTGAATGAAAAAGCATGCAGTCTAATCAACCAGTGAGTCCGTTGCTGTTGGGTGTTGTGTTCCAGCGCGAGCAGGATTAATGAAGTTGCCTAGCTGATAGGCGGTCCAGCGCAAAAGCATAACTCGGCCGAGTTTAGTTTGTTTGAGGGAAATGTAGGTGTGTACCTTGGAACTCCTTGTTTGTTTAAATGCGTATTGCGATATTAAAAAGCATTACCTCGACTTATTAGCGTTGCCAGATGGCACAAGCCAATGAGATGGAATAAAGGAAAAAAGAGCGGACAGTGAAAAAACTTCTTGAGATTTTTAGGAAAAATGACGGTCGCTCATGGAAGGTCAAGACGGGAAGGGAATTGTAGAAGTCACGAAGTCCGTCACCGAAGTTTGGAATATGCGGCACAATACTCCTTAGCTGATTATGAAGTCCAGGGACAAGGTAACGAAAGCAGAAGAACCCACCACGATTGTTGACTGTCTATTGCTAGTCAACACAAGTGAGAACGTTTAGGGGCCGCGTAGACTATAGTCGCGAGGGGCTGTAGATGCAAGCCCTGACTGGATCGTCACAATTCGCATAAGGTCAAATAGGGAGGACCGCGAAGGCCTTCGGCTGAGTGTGCTACTGAGAAGGCGTGTAGCTCATGGCTCAAACGAATTTCTGCCACCGAGTCTGATCGGTGCGTTCCAAGTAAATGGAGACCTATAATATCACCTCAAGAGCAAAAATAACAAAAGCCTGCCTTAAACGAGGACGTCATTGGAATAATTCTATACCGAATGTAACCGAGGAAGTCTGTATGTGACAGTAAACCGGGTGCTATGAAGTCTCGGTGTTGTAACGGAAGCCTAGGCCGAGATATCACCGCCCAATAACGCCTTGTGTGAGTCCCCAAAGGAAGAACACGACAAGAAATGTCCAACGGCAGAAGTCTTTTAGTGTTTGAGGTACAACGTATTTAGGAAACAAACGCGTGTAAACGATGTCCCTTGAGC